GGGGTTTCGTTACTCAGGAATGGTTGATTAAATCATTGGCTGGAGACTGAACTCAATCTCTAGGCTCCCTCCCTGGACCTCACATGGCTCAAAGCCCCAACCGTCTAATCATATGGTCTGTCTTTCTGGTGTGGCCAGCCCCAGTCCTGAAACTACTCAGGGGCCACCATGAGTTACATCGTTGGCATAAACTGTTGGGCTCACCATGAATATCACTCCTAATACTTGGGCAGTTTCAAGGATTTACTGTCTCCCTCCCAGGAACCAGCGACAAAGGCCAGTCAAATTCTTTATGATGTGACATTTAGTGTGGTCAGTTTCCTCCAGATCGGCTTCTCAAGCTCCCTCCCTCCCACTTTTTTTTTTTTTTTTGTGAGGAAGATCAGCCCTGAGCTAACATCCGATGCCAATCCTCCTCTTTTCTTGCTGAGGAAGATTGGCCCTGAGCCTAACATCCGTGCCCATCCTCCTCTACTTTATATGGGCACCACCACAGCATGGCTTAACAAGCGGTGCATCGGTGCGCACTTGGGATCCGAACCTGTGAACCCCCGGGACCCCACAGCAGAGCACGCACACTTAACCACTGCACCACCAGGCCGGCCCTGCCTCCAACTTTTTGCTTTGATAAGTTTCAAACCATTTAGATTAACCAGTTCTTGGCAATTTTGCCACCTTTGCTTTCTCTCTCAATCTCTCTCTCTCTCTCTCTCCTGACACATCACCCCTAAATACTTCAGCATGTATCTCCTACGAACAAGGTCAATCTCCCACATAACCAGAGCACAATGACTGCACTCAAGACATTTAACATTGATGTAACACTATCATCTAATATACATGTCACATTCAAATTTTCCCCAGGGGAAAAAGTCCTTTATAGTTGATTTTCCCCTTATCTTGGATCCAATCCAGGATCACAATTTGCATGTTTCGTATCTCCTGTCATCTGACAGAGTTCCTGTCTTTTCTTTTTCTTTCTTTCTTTGTCTTTTATGACACTGACATCTACAAAGTGTCCAGGCCAGTCATTTTGCAGAATGTCTCTCACTTTGGTTTGTCTATTTCCTCAAGATCAGATTCAGAGAGAACATTGTCAGCAGGAATACTACAGAAGAGACGCAGTATTCCTACATCTGTAGTATCCTTCTCAGTGCCTCCCATCAGGAGACACATGATGCCAGTTTGTCCTATTAATAATAATTAAACTTGGATTACTTGATTAAGATCAGGCTAGCTTTTGATAGAAACCTGAGAAATATTGGTACTGATCTTCCAAGCAGTCAGAGGGACTGCAGCACACCTGGCCTGCCTTCATCTCCTTTCATCCCTTTCGGGAACACCAAGAGCAGAGTCTGGATGGCAGGAAATGGGAAGAGTGGCCAGGCCCTGCAGTGGTGTCACTTATTCCCAGTTCTCCTGAGGCCACTGGAGATAGCTCCACAGCCATTATCTGTCTGGTGCTTCGGAGCCTGGGATGGAGATTATGCCGCCCCCCCCAAATGTCCATGCACGTGTCCCTGTACGTGCGCACTTCTGCGTGTGCATGGAAGTAGGTATGTGCGCGGTGCCTATTGTGCAAACGGGTCTTTCTGCTTGCATCAGCGTGTCGGCATGCACGTTCCGGTCGGTGTAAGCCTTCAAGTTTCTTCTAAAGCACATTCCACGTTGGAGGCTCTGGGGTGGGCTAAATTGTGTGTGTGTGTGTGTGTGTGAAGCGCTCCTGCGCGGAGCTGGTCCTGGTTCTCAATGCTCCCCACTTTCTGGGCCGGCGTGGTCTGGTCTGCGACCCCCCTTCATTTCCTCTGACGGTGGTTGCTCCCACGCCACCCGGAAGTGTTTGCCTCGCCGCAGGCCGTCTGGTTTCGCCGGCAGACATGGAGCGGCAGGGCGGTCCGCGCTGCTCCGGCAGCGCTCCCACGCCCGCGGAGTTGGCCCCGGCCTCCGTGACTCTGGCGCAGCTCCTGCAGCTGGTCCAGCAGGGCCGGCAGCTCCCGGGCCTCGAGAGGCGCCACATCGCGGCGACCCGTGGCGAGCCCACGGCGTCCCGGCTCCCGCGGAGGCCCAAGCCCTGGGAGGCCGCGGGCTCGGCCGACGCCCCCGCGCCCCCGCCCTAGACCCGAGGCCCCAGGCCCCGCGGACCCTCGGGTACGGGGAGAGGAGCCGCCTGGAGGGGCCCGGCCCCGGGGAGGCAGCGACCGCTCCTTCCTAAATGACACGCAGTGGGTTCCTGAAGCTCGAGGTCCTTTGAGCCGAGATCTGGAGAGCGTGACGGTGTCCTGTATAAACTCGGACCCTGGATACTGGCCACTCTGTTCTTCATCTTTTGTGCATTCGCCCTGACCTGTCTCAACTGGACTTAAGCCTCCTGGGAGCATCATTGGGGTTGTTTTGTATCCGTATTTCTTAACCATGATCTTCATTAAATTTTTTTTTTTTTTAAATCCTGTTTCAGTCCTTATTTGTAATTGAAACAAATGTCATACTTACTTGACTATCTGCGATGCATAAATATGTTTTCACTTTATTTTTTTTTTATAATTTTATTTATTTATTTTTTCCCCCAAAGCCCCAGTAGATAGTTGTATGTCATAGTTGCATATCCTTCTAGTTGCTGTATGTGGGACGCGGCCTCAGCATGGCCGGAGAAGCGGCGTGTTGGTGCGTGCCCGGGATCCGAACCCGGGCCGCCAGCAGCGGAGCGCGCGCACTCAACCACTAAGCCACGGGGCCGGCCCTTGTTTTCACTTTAAAAATGCTCCTTGGGACACACTAAAGGGGTCTGACCCACTGGGAAGTTTCTTAGCAATGTACGAGAACATCAGTATTTATCTCCTGATTCAGCTTATTCTGGTGGCTATGGAACTGAATACGGGATCCATTTTAGACGGCCATTCTCCAGACAGGCAGTTAGTAACAGGTTTGATGATAAAACTTGGCCCCAGAATGACTTCAAAGATACATTAAATGAACGAAATTTCAAGCATTAAAAAAAAAAATCCCAACAAACACCACAAACCTTAGAACCCTTGGCTCTGGGAACCAGCCGGGTCAGGCAAGGGGCTAGAGGCTTAGAGCAAAGGAAAAGCTCCCACGACCACCTTCTGCAGTCAGTCTCTTGGAAGAGGCCATGTGGCTCACTGCACCTATTCTTGCTTCCTGGAACTAGGTTATTTTCCCTACACCTAGAACTTATCAGGTAGATTGCTGACTGTCATGAACAACCCACATTAGCATACACTAATCTACAGATTACATAATAGGACAAGCTTTTTCTAGAAATAAAAGGGATAGTCCCACAACTTGTTCAGGAAATGGTATATCATGGTACACCAGACAGAAGTGCATAATTTTTATAGCCTGTTATTTATTTACAAACAATTCTAAGTTAAAAACTTATTTTGCTTGGGGCCGGCCCCATGGCTTAGCGGTTGGGTGCACGCCCTCCGCTGCTGGCCGCCTGGGTTCAGATCCGGCTGTACTGAGGTGGCGTCCCACATACAACAGCTGGAAGGATGTGCAACTATGACATGCAGCTATCTACTGGGGCTTTGGGGAGAAAAAGGGAAAAAAAGGAGGAGGATTGGCTATAGATGTTAACTCAGGGCCGGTCTTCCTCAGCAAAAAGAGGATTGGCACAGATGTTAGCTCAGGGCTGCAAAAAGAGGATTGGCACAGATGTTAGCTCAGGGCTGATCTGCCACACACACACACACACACACACACACCAAAACTTTGCTTAATCCTTTTAACCATCTGTGGCAGAAAGGCTAGACTTTATTTGCCCCATTTTACAAGCAAGACTGGAAATATTCCCATATTTAGTATGAGACTGATCTGGGATACAAACCCTGGGCTTCCACACTCACAACTGCTCTTTTCCCATGGCTTTTTCATACATCATTTTGAAGTAATTTGATTTCATAATGCTTTATGGTACGAGAGTTACATCTGTAACATCTATTCCTGGCAGGTTAACTCTTGAGCCAACCAACCTAATTAATTACTCATAACCTGGTACATTTTAAGGCATTATTACACCTCTAACTCAATCTCACAGCTGTTTGAGGGTCCCATGAGCCAAAACTGCAGCAAAGCTGATCTTCAGGGACAATGGTTAATATAAGCATGTTTACAAGTCTTAACCTGGGCCTGGTACACCCTCATCCAACTGCTTAGATGGCAAGTTGAGGCAATTGAATGACAGGAGCAGAAGGCAGGCTCATTTAGGGGTGGACACTGATGATAAACACAGTACAATCAGACCTCCCTTTTTAGGTGCCCAGGAGCCTGGTCTACTACGTCATTACCAGCAGAATAGAGGGCAATAGAGGGCATATTCTAGACTCCAGAAGTCTAGAATATGCAAGGAAAGGGTCTAATTAAATTGCTTGCCTGGGGCCTAAAAGACAAAATAGCGCAAATTTCATCCATGCCAAACCAAGAAAGTGGTTCATTCTTTTCTGATTTGGGTTTTAGGCAGAGGACTGATCATCAGGGAAACCAGAAAATTCCATCCTGAAGCCCAGTGGAAATAAATGGTAGGCATTTCCCCAAGTTACAGCTGGGACAGGGGCTCAGCAATCTACCACTGTGTTCTTAACATCAAACAGCCAATTAGCTCGAAGGACAAAAGCTATTTTGCTAAGCTTTGGTCTTCCACAGGACACGGAACCAGGAGACAAGCAAGGTGAGGGCCTGGCTGACCAATCCTGATAGTGCAGGACTTCCTCACATAAGGACCATGGGTTCCTGCAAAGGGTCTACAAACACCCTCAACTTTCAAGCTTTGAGTTTATTCATGCGTTCCTGGGGAAAGGGTCCTTTCCCTTCTCATACATCCAAGAATAGGTTGAAACCCCAAGCTGCAGAAAAGGACCAAGCCAGCTGCAGGCTAGGATAAGGAAACCACCAGATACACTTCGAGCCAGCGAAGTCCGAGAGCTCGCAAAGCCATCCCTGAAAAGTTAGAACACAGACTCACAGCAGAGACAACTGAGCACTATTTTTGTGCTCTTCTAATCCTATTTTAAGTTCTTTCCAAAACAAGGCCCTAGGAATCTCCAGGTTCAAGTATGCCTCTGGGCTTGGTCCACTGCTGTCTGGTATTTATTCACCAAATAAATAGATAGATAGATCTATTTATAGATAGAAAATGTGACAAAGCAGGACTGCCTCCTCTGTGGCATGAGTCCTTTGCTAACTTCAGAGGTGGCAGCGGTGGCCAACGTGGAAAATACACTGGAATTTTTCCTCGGAACTGGGCTGTGATGAGAAGTGCCTGCTAGGAACATCACTATCTTCTCCTTCCTCTCCAGTTCCTGAAGATATAGCAGAAAATAATCTTCTTTGAAGATACTGGATAATGATTCCAAAAATAAAAACAACCATGCTTCCAACGCATTGTGCTTTCAGATATTCTGAAGAAGAATAACACAACTTCATTAATACAAATTCACTGCAACTTGGCACCTAAGAGTAAAAACAGTAATAAAAAGCAATTTCAAAGAGTTGAAATTCCACAAAAGAGATGGTTTAGATTTTCAAATCCTTTTTGAAATTAGTTTTAATATTATTCTCTCCCCAATTCCAGCTAAATGACCACAATACAGTGGTTTTGTTGTTGTTGTTACTCAACAACCTCTAGCCTGTAATTCTTGGGATATACATTCCCACACCCTAACCAGGCGCTCACTGCTCCAAGCAGGTCTCCATCCACCAGCCTCCTCTCTCCCCCAAATGCCAAGTTTACTCTCCAATACTGGCAAATGCAAAAAGAATTTTTAAGTGGCAAGACATGGTCCATCAAGTCAGCCCAGCCTCACCTGGGTTTAGTTTAGCTGCCGGATGAGCTGATTGATGCGTTCACCTCGATAGCCAGGTGAGCCCACCTCCTTGAGGAAGCCCACTCTATTGTTGGTAGCGTGACGGGCCACTGAGAGGTGGAAAGGGCGCAAGAACGCTGAGATCATCTGGAAATTCTTCCCCGGGAAGGCAATTTCATGAATGAGGTCTTCCAAGCAAATGACACCAAACTTGCCTAAGAAACATAAGGTACAGATTCCTTTATTCAACATTTACCCAGTGTATACTGCAAGGCTCTTATATGCCAGAGCTGGGTACCCTGCCAGGTTCTTGGGACTCCAAGAAGACTATGACCTGGATCTCACATTGAGACCACCAGATCCTTGCTTTCTGCCCCAACTGACCCCTAATATGCAACACTCACCCAGGTGCTCCTCAATCACTGTGTTGTCTGTCAGAGGGATGGTTTTATTCTTGACCCTGGCTTGTCCACGTTTCAAGATGAGTTCCCGGACAGACTTCAGATTTGGAAATCTATGTGAGGCAGAATAAAGGACAGCCTTAGCCAGCCCCTGGCACACTGCATTACAAGGGCCACTCAGTCCTACAGCCTGGCTGAGGAGACATTCTCCCAAGTACCCCTTCTCACCAGGAAGTGCCCTGCAATCACACTGCAGCTGGGATGCTTGGGAATACACAAGTGAAGAAGGGGGTAAACAACCAGAGTGGCCCTGACTATGTAATTAGAAATTAAAACTTATGGATATAAATATTCACCAGGCAAAAACATTTATTTCCCAGGCAAAAATAAAACAAGTCCTGGCTTAGAGTCTAGGACTTTGGCCTTAGGCAACCCTCTACTCAAGAGGATGCAAGAGTTTGAAATTAGGGGCCGACCTGATGGTGTAGCGGTTAAGTGCGTGCGCTCCGCTGTGGTGGCCCGGGGTTCGGATCCCGGGCACACACGGACGCACCGCTTGTCAAGCCTTGTTGTGGCGGCGTCCCATATAAAGTGGAGGAAGATGGGCATGGATGTTAGCCCAGGACCAGTCTTCCTCAGCAAACAGAGGAGGATTGGCAGATGTTAGCTCAGGACTGATCTTCCTCACAAAAATAAAAAGTTTGAAATTAAATGCGAGCCTTGTTGGGGTTTAATGTTTGAAGGAATACTACTCTTATACAAGCACTGCCCCTAGCTCTGCTTCAAGACTCCAAGAATTTCTCTCTCCTTTACCCATCTTACTCAGCCCTAGCCTACCAACAAGCAAGCACTGCCATGGTACTGTTCACGGTACATTATCAGCAGCACTGACACCTCCTGCTGTGCCTGTCCCATGTTCCAAGGCTCTTAAGGCTGGCAGCTGATTTCTGCTGACTGTGGTCACAGCAAAATGTTCCTTTAACACGGCAACACAGGCCTTGGAAAACAGTACCCTGTGCATCCTAATGTTCTCAACATGCTCAAATACAATTTAATGTGAAACCAGACACAAAAAAAACTATACTCACCCCCAGGTCACATAAGGTTCCACTACACGCAGCATTTTTATAGTGTGAGATGTCACTTTGACAAAGACACCACTGAAAATCTTCTTTAGGCGAAGCTTTGCAATGGTATTCTGCACCAGTAAACTCACCCCATTAATCCTGAAACGGAGGAAGTCAGGCTCTATTCAGGTTATGTCAGTCCAGTGAGCACCTGTGAAATGTATGCCACTACTGGCACCCAGAGAGTAGACAGACCGTGCCTCAGAGCTCAGCTGAGTGGGAGGCAGCTATGTAAACAGACCATTTCCACGTGATGTGGAGCAATGCCTGATGCTATGGGAAAAGAGATGGTCCCTGCATTTGTGGTGTGTGCGCCTGTGTGTGGGGTGGGGCTATGTGTGTCAAGCTAAGGAAACTGAACTTGCTTCTGTGGGAGGTTAAAGCTACGGGAGATTTTAAGTAAAGACGACATGATCAGATTTCTTTTTGACAATCACTGAGGAAACCATATAAGATAGATCTGAGGGGCCGGGCCCGTGGCTTAGCGGTTAAGTGCGTGTGCTCCGCTGCTGGCAGCCTGGTTTCGGATCCCGGGCGCGCACTGACGCACTGCTTCTCCGGCCATGCTGAGGCCGTGTCCCACATACAGCAACTAGAAGAATGTGCAGCTATGACATACAACTATCTACTGGGGCTTTGGGGGAAAATAAATAAATAAATAAAATTATATAAAATCATAAGACAGATCTGAGAGTGTGACACCAGATGCAGGGAAACCCAGTTAGAAGCTAATGTGATAGTCCAGGAAAGAGATCACTGGCAGTGGTAGGAGGGCTAATAAAGAGGGTTCATAAATACTTAAAACCTACAGGTTCCTGGTTTGGGTGACTGGCTAGGAGAAACAAGAGGAGGCAGAGTTGTATGTGCAGGTAGGAATGGGTAAGGGAAGTGTCACTAAATGTGGAAAAAGCTTTATGCACTCTCCTCAGCACTGAATATGCTCCATCCCCCCACTAGACCTTGGTTCAGCTCCTAGAAAGATGCCTAGATTCCCTCACATCAGGACTCTTGGCATCTACACCTACAAAGCCTTCCCCCAACACCCTTTCATGTTTGCAGGTCTCAGCTTCAAGTGCCTGCTTTAGAGAGTGTCCTTAACCAGTGCACACACACACCCTCCACTACCAGCCCTCCAACCCCCACTTGGCCCTCACAGCACTTGGCATATTTTCATGTCTATTTGCCTAAAGTAAGTTTCCTTAACCTTCAAGACAAAAAGTATGTTGTGCTCAACTCTGAATGCCCAGCACAACTTGCCTTAGTAGCTTAAGGCCTACTATCTCCTCATCCCCTGGAGACGGGGTCTAAAGCTGAACGAATAGTTTGCCCAGCCTAACGGCATCTCGCAAGTACCCTACCTTTGGATTCGTACGACAAAGGCCAAGGAATGTTCATCTGGCACTTCCAAGGCGTGAGGTTTCACTTCCAGTCGTCTGAGGCGCACCCTGTCACGTTTTTGCCGCCAGGAATCATGTAGGAACCATTCCAGTCGCTTAAATCTGAGCTCTTTTCCTTTCTTCTGCTACAGAGAAGGCAGACCATCACCACCATTTTGTGCCTCTATTTATCTTTACTACCACAACAGTACTTCACGAATCACTATTCACAGAGCTTATTTCCTCCTGTGTTCTGCAAAGGGGAGCAAATGTCCTCTATTCTCAAATAAGGAAAAAATGAGATACCGAAATAAAGGTGGAGTTGAGAAAACTTGGGAACTACTGGGACAAGTCCTTGCTAAACAAACAAACAAAAAATCAGTTTACATGCTGTTAACCAATGTTTACCAACAAGTGTTTATGGAACCTAATTGTGTTAGGCATCATAAAGTACAAATCAAGCATGAGCTTTGTTCCTGCCTCCAAAATACTTTTACAATTTATGTATTTTTTACAAATTACGTATTTTTCTCCAAAACCATTTTGCAAATAGTAAAAATTGTTTGGCACGTTTAAAAAATAGGTATGTGTTCCTCCAGGTACACAGGTATGTCTGGTCTCTCAAATCATTCGATATGTAGCTAGAAGGAACAACTGCCATTTCACTTTTCCCTTCACAAACTTGATTCCAGAATTTTGCCTGCAGAAAGCGTTTGATAAATATTTGCTAAATGAAGGCATGAACCCTATACATGGTATAATGGAATTGATGGAGGAAGGGACTGTCCACACCAAATCCAGTTCAACCCGTGCTGGATAAACTCACCAAATACCACTTCAAATCCCTTCCTCCTGGTTCCCCAGCATTACCTTCCTCTTTTCCAAAAGTGCCTGCTTTGCCTGGGTGGCTTTGAGGGCCTGATAAGCCTTCCTCTTTTTCAGGAGATTTTCCGGAACCAAAGGGATCTTTTTTCTTTGCCTGATACAGAAAATCGAGATCAGCAACAAAGTTTAGGAAATAAATCTTCAACGAATTTCCAAACTATTTCCTGAGCTTCGGGAAACATTACTGACTTCAAATTCCTAAGGACTGAGACCCCTAACATTCACTCGTCCCCAAAGCCTTAAAAAGTCCTCACTCCCTGGGCCTCTGGTTCTCGTATACGTCAATGGAGCTTTTACTGCCACAGCCTTTATAAACACTAGTACCACTAGCAACGACATGATTCTAGCAAAACCCTGTGGGGCTGGGGTGCGTGCAGATCCATCTGCAGGGGGAACACTAAAGTCAGGCTGGGAGAACCCAACTCTGGCACTCTCCAGCCCGCTGCCTAAAAGTCAATCTTCACCCCTCCAGGGAACCGAACTCGACGGCGGCCCCCCCCTCGCCCCCCGCCCCAACCCTCTGGCTCCTCAACCCTCGCCCGACCCTCTGTAATCTGGAGCCTTTTCTATTCTCTTCCTTCAGCTCACAAGTATCTTTATCTTCCGCCACCGAGGAACAAACACCGTGGATGGCACCGGATGCTCAAGACCCCACTCCAAAGAGTCAAAGCCCCAAACTCTTACTCTTCCTCCGCCATCTTCCCGCTGCCGCGGCTCCCGCTCATGCGCAGCCCCACCACGTGGGAAAGAGAGGAACCGCTCTATGTTTACTTGACCATAGAGACGTCTAGTCTAGCTCACGGCTGGCTGACCCCGACAGTCACCGCCCTCTCAACAGCAGGGACCCGCCCAGGTTTTGCTAACCCTGATTCCTCCAAAAGTTGTACAGAGCTTCCTTCGCACTGCTTCCAAGCATTTTAGAGCCTGTGTTACCTTCAAAATCCAGCCCTTTTCATTTAAGCTATATTCTCATAAGGCTGATGCCCGGGCTATAAACAAGGAGACGCTTCCCACAATGCACCTACGACGTCCGGTGTTGGTGGGCGGCGCTCTTCCGGCTTCTGCTCCGCTGCGGCCCTCTGGAAACGGGCGCAGGGGATCTGGGGGTAGGCTTGTCACTTAGTAGCGAGCTGGGGTTGAGGCTTTGTCTCTGAAGTGTGGGTGGAGGTGTTGTGGACCATTTAGGATGGTAAGGAATGCAGCTCCGATTCTGTCTGCCCGGCTCCGTCAGTGGGTCCCTGAGCAAATTATTTAACCCTTCTGTACCTTGGTTTCCTTTACCCATAAAAAGGTGTAATAATGGACCTTACCTAATAGCGTCATGAGGATTATATGAGATAGCCCAGTAAAACGCTTAGCACAGTGTCTGACTGTAAGCAGCCAACACTATGTTAATTATTAGTGATGGACCGAAAACTAGAAATTCCTCCTTGCCATCTCAGAACCTTCCCTCATAGCTCTCACCACCTGGAATAACGCGTCCTTCTCTCCTGGTGTTCATAAAACGATGAAAAACAACTCACGTCCTGTCTTTTCTGGAAGCCTCTAGAGCAGCGCATCTCAAGCATTAAGGTGCATAGGAGTCACCTGAGGATCTTGTTAAAATGCAGATTTTTATTCAGAAGTGGTTGGGGGGGTCGAGGGTTGATACTTTGCGTTTTTAACATGCTTCAAAGTGATGCAGATGCTTCAGGTCTATAGGCTGCACTTTGACTAGCAAGGTTCTAGAGTAGTTTCTTTCCTTTCTCTGAATTCTTCTAGCACATTATTATTATATTTTTAGCATTTCTTCCCCGTGATACTAGGAGGGCGGGGATCATGCCTGCCTTGCTCATCACTGTTCCTAGGGCTCTAGCACAGGTTTCTCAATCTTGGCACTATAGGCATTTGGGGCCAGATAACTCTTTGTTAGGGGTGACTGTCATGTGCATTGTAGGATGTTTAGCAGCATCCCAGGCTTCTACTCGGTACATGCCAGTAGCACCCACACCCCCGTTGTGATAAATAAAAATGTCTCCAGGCATTGCCAAATGTCTAGCACAATACATATATCTATCCTAAGGTCTAGGGCAATGTCATTATTTGACAGTCGGCACTTATAGACTTCACCACAGACTTTCCCCTGTACTATTTTGTTTGTTGTTTTTCTAATTACGTTGGGCGCTCTGAAGGCGGGGAATTTGTGTCATGCTTCTCTGAATCTTTCACAGCACCTGTCACAACAATGGGCACCTGCAGGGGCTCGTTAACTATCTAAGCTTAAGGCGTCATATTGGTATGTGCTGTGTAACTAGTCCAACCAGAAAGTTCCATGCACGGAGCTCACTACCTGGTAAATAAATGTCAAAGGACAACACAATCTTCAGAGTCACAGACTGGCATGAGGCTCATTCTCATCCACTCTTTCAGCAGCACCTCACCATGTGTCTCTGTAAAGAGGCAAAAACAGAAGGGTCGCCCAAGTGTAAAACATCCATTAGATAGTAAACAAGGAACAAAAATAAGTCAACATTTTGTAACTTCCCTTATCTACAGATAAAGGTAGGTTCTGTGGTACTGATGGTATTAAGGAGAGGAGGAATTTCAGCGGTATTAATTTTATTTATTTATCTATTTATTCCCCCAAAGCCCCAGTAGATAGTTGTATGTCATAGCTGCACATCCTTCTAGTTGCTGTATGTGGGATGCGGCCTCAGCATGGCTGGAGAAGCGGTGCGTCGGTGCGCGCCCGGGATCCGAACCCCGGCCGCCAGCAGCGGAGCACGTGCACTCAACTGCCAAGCCACGGGGCCGGCCCTCAGCGGTATTAATACTCCTGGCTGAGAGAGACTTGGAGACCAGGAATCAGGCAAGGTTTTCTAATGCCAGCAGATGGTGCTAGGAGAGTACTTATTCTCAGGGCCAAAGCTATTCCCCCAGACTGACCCGGAGAAAGAGGTCAAGTCCTCTTCAACCCAAAATTGTTCACTAACTGAATCCATTGACCATGTGCCCTAGCACGGAACAAGATAAAGATTTTTTATGTCAAAGTGAGGTTACTGAATGAGAGCGAGGCATGGCCATTTACAGCTTCAAGAATCTTATTCTTTTTTAGCCTGTCCTCAGAGGCTTCTGTTCTCTTTTTTCTTAACCACTTCAGTTGTCCATCATTAGGGAATGGTTAAATAAATTACGGAAGACTACGCAATTATGTACAGTGAGGTAGGTCTTCACGTCCCAGAATCTCAGTGGTGGGTGTTTTTAATTTTTTGGCCTGCTGACATCCATTCCCATTTCTTAACAGAATCCCATTTCTCCTGTGGACTGGCCTCTCCCTCATCGTGCACAGCCTTGGGAGGGCAGGATATCATATCCAAATACTTGGCCTCGTAATACATAAGTTGAAGGTGTCTCTGGAAGATCTTTTCAACTTCTTCCACCTCCCATGGGAGACCCTAAACTTCTCTGGGTTTTGAATCTTTTTGTTTGTTTGTGAGGAAGACCAGCCCTGAGCTAACATCCATGCCTATCCTCCTCTTTTTGCTGAGGAAGACTGGCCCTGAGCTAACATCCATGCCAATCTTCCTCCACTTTATACAGGACGCCACCACAGCATGGCCTGACTAGCGGTGTGTTGGTGCGCGCCCAGGATCTGAACCTGGGCCGCCAGCAGTGGAGCGCCCGCACTGAACTGCTATGCCACGGGGCCAGCCCCCCCTTTTTTTTAATAGCTGTATGTCATAGTTGTACATCCTTCTAGTTGCTCTATGTGGGACGCTGCCTCAGCATGGCTTAATGAGCAGTGAGTAGGTCTGTGCCAAGGATCTGAACTGGCGGACCCTGGGCTGCCGAAGCAGAGTGTGAGAACTTAACTGCTATGCCACCGGGCCAGCCCCCTGAATCTTTTTTAAAGTTTATTTTATTTTATTTGGTGAGGAAGATTGGCCGCTGAACTAACATCCGTTGCCAATCTTCCTCTTTTTGCTGAGGAAGATTGGCCCTGAGCTAACATCTGGGCCCATCTTCCTCTACTTTATATGGGATGCCACCACACCATGGCTTAATGAGCAGCGTGTAGGTCCGTGCCCGGGATGCAAACTCTCGAACCCCAGGCCGCTGAAGCAGGGTGCGCAAACGTAACCACTATGCCACCAGGCCAGCCCCTCTGGGCTTTGAATCTTGAGCAGAGTGATGATAGAAGAAACGTAGGAGGTTTGGGGCAAGACTTTTAAGGATTTCCACCTACTAAGACCTCCTGGAGTTTCCTTGTTCCTGTCCTTCTCAAGCCTGGTGTTTCTTCAATCTTCCCTTCAGTCCTTATCCTTCCTATAAAACTCCTTTATGCTGGTTAACCAGATCTGTTTCTGTTGCTTATAACCAAAGAATCCTGACAATAATACTCCCGGACGTTTGGTTACATGTGAAAAAGCAAAATACTGAATAGGGTGTAAGAGCGGTCCCAGATTATTTTGTTATTGTTTTTGCTTTTTGGCTATAAATGTATTTGTATGTAACAATTCTGGACGGATCTACAAGAAACTTGAAACATTTTTGGGAAATGGGAGTAGGTCCTGGAACAGGAGAAAAATTTACATTTATTTTATGCCCTTTATCATATATGTATTAGTTTAAGAAAAACTAAGGTATTACTCAGGTATTACTCTCCAGGTAATTAGGTTCTTGTGATTTGCCTGTTTTAGAAACCACTTGACTATATGTTTTTAAAGACTCCTTTCAGGGGCTGGCCCTGTGCCCTAGTGGTTAAGGTCGGCGTGCTCTGCTTTGGTGGCCTAGGTTTGCAGGTTTGGATCCTGGGTGCGAACCTATACCACTCGTCAGCCATGCTGTGGCTGCAACCCACATACAAAATGGAGGAAAGATTGGCACAGATGTTAGCTCAGGGCTAATCTTCCTCAAGCAAAAAAGAGGAAAATCGGCAACAGATGTTAGCTCAGGGTGAATCTTCCTCAGCAAAAAAAGAAAATTAAAAAAGACTCCTTTCAGGACTAACATTTTGTGGTTCTCTGCGTTGACTCCAGGATTTCTTTCCTAACATATTCCACAATAAGTTATTTCAGTATTGTCCGCACTTCTGGATTATTTGTAATCCTACTCTTTTTTACTTAAGAGATAATTGAGCAGTGCCTTCCTTCTCAGTAGGGCAAAACCACCACACCCAACACAACCGAGAGGGGCCTCCATCTGTAATCTCCCATCTTCCCCAGACCTCTTTCTTGGATTATGACCTTTCTTCCGGTCAACTTCATTTTGTTTCAAGCTTTCCTTAGAGAGTGATGTGGGGTTACCAGGAAGCAGGTGGGAGAGAGATGAGTGTGAGAGCTGCCAGATAAGCCTGGGGTTGGGGAAGGCAACATGGACAACAGCTTTTGATCCTGATGAAAAACAAGCATAAGGGAGCAAAAGTGGGAAGGAAAAAGGAGAGAACAGGTGAAGGGCAGCAGACTTCTGAGGGTTGAGGATAGACACAGGAAAGCTAGGGTAGGAAAGAGCCAGTGTGCAGTAGGTAAGACCAAAGCACAACGGGAAAACCCAAACCTCTGCTAAATTATTTCAGGGATAATGGAACATTAGCTTATTGTACCTTCCACACTTCTTCAATAACACCTCATTGTACACCCTAAGAAGTGGAGGGCCAGGACAAGTCTTCCTAGTTTATAGGCAAGGGAGCTGAGGCTGAGAGTAACCTGCATGAAGGTGTCTGATTACATGTTAGATGAAGTACTGGGAACTGTTTCCAGATTCTGCTGCCAAAGGCACTGTCTGCCCACCCCATTGCACTGCTTTCTGTGACCTTCACAGAAGTGATTTTTTCC